GCAATGTAAAGCTTGGACAATTATTTCATAGTTTGCAAGTTTCTTTTGTTGTGATTTTTTTATGGATTTGACTTACTTTAATTTTCCTATTGCAAAATATTTTTGTTGTTTTTTTTTTTGAGTGTCTGTGGATTGGTGTTGATTGATATGACACAACTCTGGGTGTTTTTTTTCAATCATCTTTCATTGCAATCATAAATTTTAATGAATTATATATGGAAAGGTAAATTAATTTGTTGTCTATAGGGTTGGTTTAAAAAAAAAAAATTCAATTATATAATACATACATACATTTGAAAATTGGTTTGTGCGGAATGCCCGGCACTCCTTGTAGAGATATTAATATGAATTATTTTTGTGAGTTTGCTAATAGATACCATAGAACTTTATAAAGACCAATTGGTCTGTATCGAGACCCTAATTCTTTAAAATGATCTGTATCAAGACCATAGGTCTTTGTAAAGACCAATTGGTCTGTATAGAGACCACAGGTCTTTGTAAAGACCAATTGATCTGTATAGAGACCAAAAGTCTTTGTAAAGACCAATTTGTCTGTATAGAGACCACAGGTCTTTGTAAAGACCAATCGGTCTGTATAGAGACCACAGGTCTTTGTAAAGACCAATTGGTCTGTATAGAGACCACAGGTCTTTGTAAAGACCAATTGGTCTGTATAGAGACCACAGGTCTTTGTAAAGACCAATTGGTCTGTACAGAAACCACAGGTCTTTGTAAAGACCAATTGGTCTGTATAGAGACCACAAGCCTTTGTAAAGACCAATTGGTCTGTATAGAGACCATAGGTTTTTGTAAATACAAATTAATCTGTATAGAGACCACAGGTCTTTGTAAAGACCAACTGGTCTGTATAGAGACCATAGGACTTTATAAAAACCAAGTGGTCTGTATAGAGACCACAGGTCTTTGTAAAGACCAATTGGTCTGTATAGGGACCACAGGTATTTTTAAAGACCAATTGGTCTGTATAGAGACCACAGGTCTTTGTAAAGACCAATTGGTCTGTATAGAGACCACAGGTCTTTGTAAAGACCAATTGGTCTGTATAGAGACCACAGGTCTTTGTAAAGACCAATTGGTCTGTATAGAGACCACAGGTCTTTGTAAAGACCAATTGGTCTGTATAGAGACCACAGGTCTTTGTAAAGACCAATTGGTCTGTATAGAGACCACAGGTCTTTGTAAAGACCAATTGGTCTGTATAGAGACCACAGGTCTTTGTAAAGACCAATTGGTCTGTATAGAGACCACAGGTCTTTGTAAAGACCAATTGGTCTGTATAGAGACCACAGGTCTTTGTAAAGACCAATTGGTCTGTATAGAGACCACAGGTCTTTGTAAAGACCAATTGGTCTGTATAGAGACCACAGGTCTTTGTAAAGACCAATTGGTCTGTATAGAGACCACAGGTCTTTGTAAAGACCAATTGGTCTGTATAGAGACCAAAGGACTTTGTAAAGACCAGTTGGTCTGTATAGAGACCACAGGTCTTTGTAAAGACCAATTTGTCTGTATAGAGACCACAGGTCTTTGTAAAGACCAATCGGTCTGTATAGAGACCACAGGTCTTTGTAAAGACCAATTGGTCTGTATAGAGACCACAGGTCTTTGTAAAGACCAATTGGTCTGTATAGAGACCACAGGTCTTTGTAAAGACCAATTGGTCTGTATAGAGACCACAGGTCTTTGTAAAGACCAATTGGTCTGTATAGAGACCACAGGTCTTTGTAAAGACCAATTGGTCTGTATAGAGACCACAGGTCTTTGTAAAGACCAATTGGTCTGTATAGAGACCACAGGTCTTTGTAAAGACCAATTGGTCTGTATAGAGACCACAGGTCTTTGTAAAGACCAATTGGTCTGTATAGAGACCACAGGTCTTTGTAAAGACCAATTGGTCTGTATAGAGACCACAGGTCTTTGTAAAGACCAATTGGTCTGTATAGAGACCACAGGTCTTTGTAAAGACCAATTGGTCTGTATAGAGACCACAGGTCTTTGTAAAGACCAATTGGTCTGTATAGAGACCACAGGTCTTTGTAAAGACCAATTGGTCTGTATAGAGACCACAGGTCTTTGTAAAGACCAATTGGTCTGTATAGAGACCACAGGTCTTTATAAAGACCAATTGGTCTGTATAGAGACCACAGGTCTTTGTAAAGACCAATTGGTCTGTATAGAGACCACAGGTCTTTGTAAAGACCAATTGGTCTGTATAGAGACCACAGGTCTTTGTAAAGACCAATTGGTCTGTATAGAGACCACAGGTCTTTGTAAAGACCAATTGGTCTGTATAGAGACCACAGGTCTTTGTAAAGACCAATTGGTCTGTATAGAGACCACAGGTCTTTGTAAAGACCAATTGGTCTGTATAGAGACCACAGGTCTTTGTAAAGACCAATTGGTCTGTATAGAGATCACAGGTCTTTGTAAAGACCAATTGGTCTGTATAGAGACCACAGGTCTTTGTAAAGACCAATTTGTCTGTATAGAGACCACAGGTCTTTGTAAAGACCAATCGGTCTGTATAGAGACCACAGGTCTTTGTAAAGACCAATCGGTCTGTATAGAGACCAATCGGTCTGTATAGAGACCACAGGTCTTTGTAAAGACCAATTGGTCTGCATAGAGACCACAGGTCTTTGTAAAGACCAATTTGTCTGTATAGAGACCACAGGTCTTTGTAAAGACCAATCGGTCTGTATAGAGACCAATCGGTCTGTATAGAGACCACAGGTCTTTGTAAAGACCAATTGGTCTGTATAGAGACCACAGGTCTTTGTAAAGACCAATTTGTCTGTATAGAGACCACAGGTCTTTGTAAAGACCAATTGGTCTGTATAGAGACCACAGGTCTTTGTAAAGACCAATTGGTCTGTATAGAGACCACAGGTCTTTGTAAAGACCAATTGGTCTGTATAGAGACCACAGGTCTTTGTAAAGACCAATTGGTCTGTATAGAGACCACAGGTCTTTGTAAAGACCAATTGGTCTGTATAGAGACCACAGGTCTTTGTAAGGACCAATTGGTCTGAATAGAGACCTCAGATCTTTGTAAAGACCAATTGGTCTGTATAGGGATATATTAAAAAATCAACCTTCAAAGGTTATACTGCACATAATTTTGCAGATGTTTCTTTGTTAAAGACAACAACTTTATGAAAATAAAATATAATAATAATAAAAGCAATAACTGGATGTGTCAAAAGTTAAGGTACACCAGTCGGTGCCATCGTCTATTATAAATAAAAATATGTACACACACACCAGTATGAATTCAACTTTGGTTGTTGTTGTGATTTCTGTTAGTCACTCTCACTTTTTTTGGTAACACAGCGAGCAGAAGTGCAAGGTAAAGACCAATTGTTACAAACAAACTTGTACTACATATAAACGCGTTCATAGCTAGGGATTGGACGGAGCTACTGTAGTAAATTGATAAAATGGTGTGAGGGTAATGCGTAATCTTTTTGTCTTATTTTTGTTGTGAACAACTTTTGGGGTCTTTAATGAGAGGAAGAAGAAGAAGAAGAAGAGGAAAAATAAAGCAAAATACCAAAGTCCACAAAAAACAAGATCACCAAAATAAAAAAAACCCAGTGGGAAAATGGAGAATGCATTACATTGATAATGAATAATTTCTTGCATTATATGATTTACATTACAGAATTTGTCTAAAATATTCGAGAAAAGAATGCAATTTGAGAAAAAAATGATTATAACATTATTGTTATGGAATGCATTATATTATTCATCCCAATAGAAGCGAAATGGTAATTTCATTTGACGAAATCTGCAAATTGATTACCGTCTATATTCCAGAATCTATACATAATGGAATGTGTAGTTTCATAGTTTTTTTCTTGTTTTTTTTTTTTTTGTGTCCCGTTATTTTCGGGCGACTTCATGTCGCGTTATTGTTGAAATTTGTAAATTTGTTTAGTTTTGTTTCATTTGTGTGACAGTGAAGACGTAAGTTTATAAAATGTATTCAAAGCGACATTGGAGGCGTTTAATATCACATAAAAATAAACGTTGTGCAAGTGCATCAAATGAAAATAATTTAATTTGTGCAAGTGAACAAAATATTTGTGTAGAAGAAATTCCTACTTTGAATATAGAAAACGAAGAAGAAGAAGCAGAAGAAAGTTTTGACCGCAGATTAACAAATTGGGCAGTGAAACATAATATATCTAGAGAGTGTTTTGATGACTTATTAAAAGTTTTATCTTCCGAAAGTCTGTCAGTTAATATGCCAGTGTCATCCAAATCCTTAATTAGAAACCAAACATGTACCCTTAGGACAGTGACACCTGGTTCATATCTGCACATTGGACTAAAAAATCAACTGTTAAAACTCGAAAGTATAATAAAACATTGCGATAACATTTATTTAGATATAAATGTGGATGGAATTCCACTCTATAAATCTTCTAGTTTGGCACTATGGCCAATTTTGGCAAGAATTGCCGATAACCCGAGAGCTAAAGTTTTTCCAATTGGAATTTATTTAGGAACCATAAAGCCGTTTAGTGTAAATAGTTATTTACACGACTTTCTTAAGGAATTCAATGATTTAAAAGAAACTGGTCTTCAACTTGGAGAATTAAATATTTCAATAAAAATAAGAAGCTTTATCTGTGATGCTCCCGCACGCGCGTTCCTTTGTCAAACCGTTGGTCACAATGCCTTAGAGGGATGTTGCAAATGTACGCAAATAGGTAGGCGACTAGAAAATAGAACGGTTTTTAGTACGACAGTTGCATCTCCCCGAACTGATGAAGATTTTAAAGATAGAAAAAATGTCAGTTTCCATAGACTAAGTATGGATGCGACTTTAGGACTAGAGGATATTGGAATTGGTATGATAAGTCAATTCCCTTTAGATCCTATGCATCTCATTGATTTAGGTGTTGCAAAAAAAACTATAATCTTGCTTTTAGGTAACAAAACTAAAACTAAAATAAATCAGATCAAAAAAGATGAAATTTCGTTCAAATTAGCATCCCTTGTCCCATTTATAACTAGGGAGTTTTGTAGAAAACCTAGAGGTTTAAAGGAAGTACATCGTTGGAAAGCAACTGAATTTAGGCAGTTCGTTTTATACACTGGAATAGTTATTTTGGCAGATATTGTTGACAACGATTTTTACTATCATTTTTGCTTATTACATTGTGCATATAGGATTCTGATAGCAGAACAAAGTTATCATAAATATTTAGACACAGCATCACAAATGATACAATACTATGTCGAATCCTTCCCAGTGATATTTGGCGAACATTATGTTTCGTACAATGTACATTCACTACTGCATCTTACGGAGTGTGTAAAAAAAGTAGGATTTTTGGGAAGTTTTTCAGCCTACGACTTTGAAAATTTTTTGCAGCACTTAAAACAACAAGTTAAGAGCCCCAGAAATATATTGCAGCAATTAAATAATAAAATTGTACATGATAATTATATAGACGATACTGAGGAGAGTGCAGTAAAATATGATAGAAAAGGAGTAATAACATCTCTAAATCTTCCAGGATTCTATTTAAGTTTGAAAAGTGCCGATAAATTTTGTTTTGTTAAATCTGGATTCGCAGTAGAAATAAAACATTTCTCTAATGACGAAAATAAACTCTTTATAGTTGGACATAAAATTTTGAATTGCACAAATTTTTATACGGAGCCGATGCAATCATTAGAAATTGGAATATTTTTAAGCGAAGGATGCACTTGCACAACTGCTGAACAGTTTAACTGTGATGATATATTATATAAATTAATTCGATTGCCATACCAAAATAAATTTGTATTCCTCCCAATTCTCCATAAACAGAATTAAATTCTCAAGATTGATACCAAACCAAAACTTTTAAAATGTCTATAATAAAAAAACAATTTGTGTCACCTCTTGCACCCCAGAACGCAATACTTCAAACTGACGAAAATAAAAAATCAGGTAAAATACTTTAAATATATATACATTAATAAATAAATAACATATTTCTTATATTATAGAATTGGCCCGAATAGAAGATATTGAGAAAAACATTAAAATACTAAATGGTAAGTATTTTATTTCATAAACATTACATCATAAATAATTTTATATATATTTAAATCAACACTTTAATTTCATACTTTTGCAGATAAATTTGATACATGTATAAATGTACTGACCAAAATTGAAATAAAACTAGATACTCTATTGACACAGGATGCGAAAAAAATATACTTTCCCATACAAAATGAGGCAGATCTCCACAAAGTTGAGAAAAAAATTGGGGAAGACTTCGCTTCGTTTGTAAGTATTGAATAATATTAAAAAATGCTAATATGATTATTAACGACAAATTCTTTTTTTCCAGATACCCATCATGGAAAGAATATTGTTTCCTTCTGGAGTTGTAAAAAACTTATGTAGAGTACTTTCCGAAGAATTGATTATGAACTATAACTTTGAAGGAATAAAAGGAAAAATGGCTTTTAAGTCCTTTGAAAATATAAATAAGTTAATGTATGGTAAGTAAAATTGTTCAAATTTTCTACATTAAATACTTTTAGAATATACATATTAATACATATATTATTTTTTGCAGAGGTGTCAAAGAGGGAAGGATACGACGAGAAGGAATATAAGAAGGATGTTAAAAAGGCATTCCATTTGATAAAATTAAGGCAGTTTAAGAAAACACATCTCGCTAAAAAACGTAGCGAGAAATAAGAATTTATTTAAACATAATCCAAAAATGAATTACATTTTATGTTTTTGTATGTATTCACAATGAGTTTGTTTGTTTATGTTTTTGTATTCTAAGAATACGTACATATATTTATGAAATACATATAAACTATGTTTATTATTAATAAATTATTTTATTATATTTCAAATTAAAAGAACATAATTTTAATGTATTCTGGGGGAATGAATTATAAAACAAATGATAAAGTATTAATTATTTAATGCATTGGGATACATCAATTATATAATGTATACTTAAAAGATTGTCCAAAATGCATTATATAGATTGCATTATATTACGAATCGCTTAGGCAAACAAAAGGAATGCATTATTTTCCTAGGACATGGACCGTGTTAACAATAATGAATTCTGGAATGTATAAATCATAGTGTTTATGCATTACCTCTTCGTTTACCATACCTTCCATTTTCCCACTGGGAATATATACAGATGTTGTGTGTAAAGTCATAATGATGGTCATTCTCTTTTTTCAGTGAGTGTTGTTGTTGTCGCTGTCCGTTTGTTTGTTACACATTAAGAAATTAATGATACGCCTCCGACAACCGTAATAATGGTTGCTTGGGAATGTAAGATTGGACAAACACGGTGGTATTGGGAATTTCAAAAAAAAAATGCGCTATACACATAAATTCACACAGTTATTTCGATCATAGAAATTCCAAAAAATAAAACTGTCATAATGACACATCAACATTTTGTGGTATTATTGATTATTAGAATGGGTCAAAAACATAGAAACCATAAAGACTCGACAAAATGCATATTGACAAAATAGTTTATGAAAAACATTTCAGGGGGAATCAGGCATAACAGAGGCATGTTAAGAATAAAACTTCCAATACGCGATACTGTGTGTATAAAATGTAAATAAAATCAGAGGTCTGCACTCAATATATATATTTTAATTTTATAAGCTTAAGATATAGCACTAAAAACGTTTAATATTGTTCTCTCTGTTGTTATGATATCGTAACAACAGAGGAAAAGGAATATGTTGGACATTGTTTACGTATCAATTGTCGTATCTTAATACTCTTATGTCTTTGAATGGGTCCAAGTAGGGTTTCTAAAGATGAAATGATCTGTATAGAAACCATAGGTGGATATTGTATGGAATCATTCCGGGTAATATTTTCAAATTTAAAATGCTAATTAATTTTAAGGAAAGTCTTTTTAAAAGGAGCTGCTATCCATGCGGAAATTTTTATCTAATATAAGTTTTGTTGTTTGTGATTACTGTGGACTTGTAAGAATGTCTGCTATTCCAAGTTCTTGAGGTAAACTTGACCTGATGCGACCGCTTCCAACAGAAAAATAATGAATGTCCCGTGATTGCATGGAAACTCATTTGTAATGTATAATGTTATAAATTTAAAATAAATTTATTGGTATCTATTGACCTACTTTGGATATGAAATTATGGCGCGATCACACTCTGTGTGGCCGACACTCATCAAACAAAATACTCTACAAATATTTCTGGTTCCTAATAAACGTATCGTGTAGTTTTCTGTAAAAATGTTTTCACCCTCCAAGAACTCGGAATGCCAATTTTTTTTGACCGGATCAAAGCAGGTTAGTTGTGGTATAGTACGTGTATGTTCCGCAAATATACAGGGGTTTTCATGTATTCTTCTTGTATGAATACTCCTCAGAAAATATTTGGCCGTTTTTTAAACATTTTTGCAGTTCCGATGTTTCTCAGTTACAGTAATGTTTTTAATTGTGATTTTCATTAACAAAGCACACTGTGTTCCAAGTTTATATACATTCTTACAAGGTAGATATACAAGGTAGCCGCATCGGCGAATTGGGAACATGATATGTCAAAATTGTTTACCAGGCGAATAATACTAAATTCGCCGTGACATAAAAAACTCGAAGCAAATTAAATTCAACCAATCAGAATTAAGCATTTTGAAAAAAGAAAAATATTTGTTTACTTTTTGAAAATTGAAAATTTTTAAAATAAGTTGTGTAAATATCTGATTTTTGATAGAAAGATACATCAAAAGTGCGCTTAAATGTGATAATGTTGGTGAAATCGGATGCAGTGAGAGATAACAAGATTTAAGCTATTCTTTACGTAGTTTTGTCATGCCCTCACATGAAATTTTTGTAAACAATGTACATATAAAGAAGACAAAAAGGTCCTATCGAACAAAATTTTCTTTTCGATCCCAAGGTCTTGTATTTGATTCCATGGTCTTCTTAAAGAAATACCATCTCCATAGCCTACCGCTATGTCTTTTTATCCTTTTTTTATTCTTTATTCTCATATATATTTCAATTTTTAAATTTTTGTTTGGAAATGGGTTTGAAAAAAAAATCAAAAACAACAAAAAAAAATTGTTATGACATATAATGTTACCATCAGCTGGTTTGATACGGTTACCTTCTTAATATACCTTGCATTCTTATATTTTTTAAATTTCCAAACAATTGTCAGTTTGTGAAAAATATCGAGAGAGCCTTAATGTAAACAGAAAATTATTTGGTGGTTCCGATCTTTTTACGCCCTCAACCAGCAAAATAATGGTGCTCGCGGTACACATTCCTTGCCGTGTAATCATCTAAAATCTCAATACGGTCAAATTGGCATTGGACAATTTTGACGCAAAATTCCATAACCCCAATTTGTTAAAATCGCTCCGATACCTAAAAATCATTGATACCGTTATAAGGTATGTATGTATTGAAGAATTTTGATCAGATTCAGTTATTTAAACCATCCAAATATCTACAATTATGCCTCTCAATATTAGTGGACACACGGTAGGAAAGGAGCGTTATCTCTAAAATTGTAGAGCTCGAAATGCTAAATAGAAAAAAATAAATAACATTATAAAATCATAAAATTTGTTATTATGTGGCCATGTGAAAACGTTAAGCTATCCTTTGTCCGCTCATATACCACATGCACAAAAATTAGAGCATTTCTTTATCCGTAATAAATATTAACAACATTTTCAAAGAAAATATAAATAACATTAAAAAATCATATAATTTGTTATTATGTGACCATGTCGAAACCCGAAGCTAACCTTTGCCCGCTCATATACCAGTTCCACAAAAATTAGAGTAATTCTTTATCCGCAAGAAATAATAACGATATTTTCAAAACACTCTTCTTTGTTATAACGTTCGCCAAAAAAAACTTCCTTTGTTTTGATTGCACAATCAATGTCATCCTAATTTGGTAAAACAATTACCGATCGATGTATTGTAAATATTAACCGAAAATGTCGGACAAAAAAATATATTAAAAAGAGTGGCAAATAAAAGTCATTCATCGTCAATTGTCGCTTAATTTCATTGTGGTGTCGATTTTGGTCATTAACCCGAAAACCAAATTACAGAGACTTGATGTCGCTGTTGTTTTTTTTTTGTGCTGGTTGTTATTTTCTTTACTGAGCATGAAAAGTAAATGTTTGCCAAAAACAAGCCAGCGACCAACCAATTTTTTTATTAGGCGGGTGTAATAGTGACACTTACCCACTTGGCGCTACAGACAAATTACACCAACTAAAATCCACAACACACCCTCCCCCTCAACAATATTCCCACAAATAAAATTATGAGTGGTATGTGCGGCAATTGCTCTGCATACAAATTCGAAATAAAAGAAAATAGATAGCAAAAAAGCACGTGCACTGTTTCTTTTTGCCAAAAGATATCAGTCAGTCAGTTAGCCAGCCAGTTTATGAATTCACTTCAGGTATTTGCTAATGCGGAAGTTAATTTTTGAGAGCCACGGTTAGTGCTTTCGGCAAATACTCTATTTTACAATAACAATAAAAAACAACAATTGTCTATTATCAACAAGTGCAGAATGTAATGTCGTATGTGCGATTGTTTGCATGTCGAGTTTATTTGTTTGTTTGTATTTTTTAACAGGAATAGAAAATTGAGACAAGTCTTTGTAAACAAAATTTGTAATGGCGGTTTTCTTATTACGTTTGTTTTGTTGTTTGTTTGTTTAATTAATTAAATAATAATATTTTACTAACTATTAAAATTAAAATGTAATAATTCTCGATCACATCACAATTGAAACAAATTAGATTAAGGAAGTCATTTTGAAATTGAATTTTATTTCAAAATCTGTTTAATAGAATATAGGAAAATCAGAAAAATCATGTTTCGAAACCTATGTTAACCCGGTATTTACATCAGGTTACACATTTCTAAAGGTCAGACCATATTTACATAGGTCCAAATATCCCGGCCAGAACAAACAAATACATGCTTTTGATTGACTTATGCTTGATCAAATACCAACCGTTATTAAATGGCGCCCAACGCGACGTTATATGTATAAATTTATAAGCATGGCGCTAAGAAAACGTTAAACTTCAAAGTTCCGAAAAATAATCATGACTTTTGTATGGGAGGCATCTTAAAACATGGGCCTATATTGAAAATTTTCTGTGAATAAGATGTTATACTCCATAAATACTGAAAACCTACAATATCCCGAAAATGGGACGGTTCTTTCTGTATATAACAAGTATCATATTATAGTCACTTGGGTGGGATAATGCGGTAATAAGAATCTACGTCTACGTTCCCTCAAGAACCCGGAATACCAAATTACAGCCACTTTAGTGGTAAATGTGGTAATGTTATTCGGGAGCTATGTCAAAACAAGGATCTATATCGGGAAATTTCTGTAAAAATGTTTCAAACCATGTAATTTTTTTTTCGTTCCCAAGCCACTTATACCTGTCCCTGCTGACCGAAGGGAGCCACCTTCCTATATGTAGGGAGCGCCTACCAACCATTGACCGAATTTTGGCGGGTGTAGTTGTATCTTCCGCAAATATATTTTGTAGTACAAGGGTTTCCAATTGGCCAATTGTTTACTGCTGTAATTTGTTGCAAAAGATTAGACTATAGACTATGTAGCCCAATATTGTGGACCGGTGAAATTGGTCGCTTTATCTACTTCGAAAATATAATTCAAATATATTTTATAGTACAGGGGTTTTCAATAGGCGGTCTTTTTAATCTTTTATCATTAACATTTCCTACATGTCATAGCTATTTTACATTCCTATTCCAATTACTTCAGAAGTGATCTTGAGGTTGACTTAAGCTAGACCAAATATGGCGCCCAACGTGACATCATATGTAAAATCTGACAATCATGAAAAAAAAAACATTTTATTATGGTAGACTTGATTAGAATTTACTGTTCTAATTACACTTGTTGTTGATGGAGACTGGATTATAGGATGTCGCCCAATGTGATGGTATTTTTAATATACAGTCGTTTATAATGACGACCAAGGGACCGGCGAAATTGGTCGCTAAATCGATGATTCCAACACAGAAACTCCTCTTTTTGGCGCCCAACGTGGCGTTATATGTAAATACAAAAACAATTCGTTTTGTTAGTCTAGAGTTAAATTTACTGTAATA